TGAACTGTTCGTTGAAGTACTCCGCCCACCGATCAAGCCGTTGTTCCCTAGTGTGAACAGCTTGTCCACTTTTGTCGTAGATTGTTTCACTAACTGTGGTTCGCCGACCTCCCGTAATGCGTATCAGTTGGAACAGTCTGTGACTATTCCCTGATGCTACTGCTACTTCCATTTCTCCGTCTATGGTTGCCCACCAGTTCTCACGGTCTTTCTTGAGGCTCCTCGTTAGTTGACGTTGTAGACGCCACCTAGCCCTTCCTTGATCGCGGGTGGTTGGGATTTGCCACTTTTTCTCCATCAGTGCGAGAAGTTGGTGCTTGATAGAAACAATCCACGGTCAGAGCAAAGTTTGGGTAGGCGTTCTGCGTTGTGAGTCCGGTTATCCGGGATTGTATATGAACTACCAATTGGTCTTTCTGATTCGTTCAGGGATCCTATTTGAGCATTAAAGTTTCCGGCGATTATCACGTTGTCTGTTGACCGAGCACTTTGGAGCAGTTGAGAGGTACTATTAGAGTTCATCCTTGATTTCATATGTACTGCAATCAGTCGGTGCGTACACCGATACGACGAGTAAGCATCGACGTCTCGTTCTGTAGTTGTCGACCCGTGATGTACCGTTTAGACGTACATCGCACAGTCGGCTGCTGACTGGAATTCAGTCAAAAAGCGAGCGCTCAGCCTTAACACCTAGCGCGACTCTAGCAACTCCACGTGCTTCGGATGCCAAATCGCCTGAAACTTGGAGTGAAGCTTGAGGATGAGGTCGGCTCTGAGGAACTCAAGGGGTGATTAAAGTAGGTTCTTATATACCAAAAGACAGCAATCGAAACCACCCCATGGGAGTGCATAATTTATGGTTGTAGAAATGGAGACTGAACTGATCAAGTGAATGATTGCCACAATCAGGAATGTGTTTGTTTGGTTTTGAATCAAAGGATTGAGGCAACTCCCACACCGACTACAGTCCTTGGTGTTAGTTTCTCTTTGGTGGGGAAGCACCGCCAACTGTCAATTGAGACTGGATCGTATAGAACTTCTCTAGGTACAGAGGAAGGGTGACTGGTCACAACGAATGACCCCACCCCCTACCGCACTGAGGCTTTTGGAGGTTAATGGCTCATCACCTTTGCTGGCAGGCAGCTTTGTTGTTGTCCGGTTCAGCAACACGACTAACCTATCGTGGTCTTGTGTGGTTCACCACTCCAAGTCCCGGGGCTTAGGTCATCGGTTTCCATCACTGAACAGGTTTTCGTGACTATAGGGTTCGCCCCGTCTGTTTATCACACTTAGGTGTGTAAAATGAAAAATGATAACTCGGTATTTTTAACACAGCTCTTTACTTTCAGCCCTGTGTCTTACAGCCAGCCTCAGTCACTCAACATGGAAGAGGTAAGCAGTCACCTTAAGCCCTAATACCACCTGTAATTAGTACGATGTGAAGAAGTCGCAGTGCCACGTGGGCATACTGTTCTGCAGTGAATGCAACAATATGCTCTATCCGAAGGAAGATAAACGCAACAAATTGTTAAATTATGCCTGCCGAAATTGTGACTATACTCAGGAGGCGGACAATCCATGTGTATATGTCAACAAGTTGGAACAAGAAGTGGAGTAAGCATTTTCTACCGATTCTATGACGTGCATTGTTTGTTTTCTCATGATCGTCACTAGATCAGTTTTAAAATGTGTGACAAATAAATCGGTTTTCCAAGCATTGGTGGACAGTTTGTAGCTATACGGCGCAATATCACACCTATCTTGTCGGAGTTTTATGCAGTTTGGCATCGAAACCGAAAATAGGCGCATGCAACTATGGTAATTGCTTCCACTGTCAGGACAGATCATAGAATACATTCCTACTGTTGTTCTGCAGTGGTGTTCCCCCCCCCCCATTATTGTTTGCGGTTAAGGAAGAAACGCTCGCCTAGGCAGAACACAACACCCACTGTTTACCAGAATACCATTATTTATACTTACCTTGCCTATCCACCTAACGGTAATCAACAATAGGCGTTGTTTTCTGTAGAAGGTATCGCTAGGTAGACAACGAATTGGCTTCCACCTCTCTTTGGAAGGTATACTAATTCAGTGCTTATAAAGATATTTATGTATGTATTTCACATATGTCTGAATCCAGACTGGATACCAAACAAATAATAATACGATATTCTTCGAAAAATGAGAAAGTTCCATGATTTGTTTGTGGGCGGAATACTGCCAGGTTGCCGAGACCAATACAGGTGAATTTTCTTGAGGAATCCACAGCCGGAGTCTTCGACTAACCAAAGCCTGATCCGCGAGGTAGCGTGGCGGTGAACGTAAAACGCAGTCCATTGGAGATCGGTGTCAAGTACATCGGATCATACGCCTTTTGGACGGGGTCAAACGTTCAAGGTACCCAATACACCCCCGATGCCCATTCGAGCCTGTGACCACTGCCACAACCAGGAAATTGTGTGTGGTTCGTACGCCTTGGTTGGCTTGGAATCAGGGTTTATAGCCAACTCCCCTAGATGAATTGCCAATGGTTCACCAACCCGGTTATAGCCTTAGATGTTAGCTTTTCCTCTCCTCACTTTGGTGGGAAAACACCGCCACGAGAAGGCAATGAGTAGGACTTCCTCAGCAGGGGCTGTTTGAGACACTTGGTCATATGGGAGCATTTCGTGAGGTGTAAGGAAAGGGTGACCAACCAGAACCCGAGACACTCACCCACGACCGTACTGAGGCTAAGGAAGCCAAGGACATTTAAGATCATCGATGCCTGTGACGGGGGTGGGGCATACAAATTCTGTCGTGATACCGGGCAATGTTAGTTCTTGGAATCTGTTACTCAGCCACTGATTGCATCGGTGACTTTTATGATTCGTTAAGTTATCTGCCATCTTTGATCGCATTTCACCGGCACAGTTCACGCTTCATGTTGATACTCTTTTTTAGCGAATTGGCCCTAATTGTACCGGACGTGGTGCATGACCCAACGCTGCCCAGAACGGAAGAACACGTTTGTAGAAGGTGCGGTAAACAGGAGGCGGTATTCTTCCAGTCACAAACACTGAAAGCAGAAGAAAATATGCGCCTGTATTATGTGTGCACCAATGTGGAATGCCTGCACAAATGGACTGAGTAGTAGTGCCATTGTTTCATTCACGTCAGACGTCCCGGTTTTGTTTGGACAACAGAGTTATCTTTTTGATATCATTTCTCATCAGTCTTATTGAAAACATTTCTATTATCATTATTATTATTATTATAATTCTCATCGATCATCAGATTATTTGTTCTATTCTTCCATTGGGATATAAGGGAATCGGAGAAATTCGCATCCTGTTGGCACACAGTCTGCATTCAAACTTGTGTGAAATACATACATATTGGAGGGCTTTCATGTCCCCATGGAGCATTCCTACAGTGTTTGTCTTCACCTGATCGTCAGTTCTCATCTGGAGCTCACAGAAGCTCTGAATCAAACCACGGCAAGAGTGTCTGCAATGTTCGGAAGTGCTTCTGTACATCGTTCCCTTGCAATTCTCATTCGGTTGTGCAAGTGTGGAGAATACCGATCAATGAAGTTCTCTTCAATCTATTGCGCTGCATTATGTTGATGAGGCCATTTTGTATCACAGTCCGGAGATGCTTGTATAAGCACCTCCGGACTGACACAAAATGGCCTCATCAACATAATGCAGCGCAATAGACCGAAGAGAACTTCATTGATATGATAAAAACGCAATAAGGTATTAGCTAGCGTGTAATCGGCAAATCACCAAACTATTTGGAACTATTATAGGATGAACCCAAGATGCGGTCAATGTAGTGCTGATTATCAGTAAACCCATAAGAGTAACACGGGTGCATGCATCATAATATAGGAGGCAGATTCCATAATCGAAAGAGGTACGCACTACCACCGTTTACAGTGGTCTGGCGTAGTCAGACAACGTAAACCGACTGAGTTGTTTAACGTATGCTTCGGCACAGCATCATGTCCAGCTTTGCACCGTCCTACAGAGAACCATTAGAAAAGGTGGTTTAGTAATATCAAATGAAACGTAAGGCTCAGGGGAGTTGGCCGAATCTACAGTATACGCCACTGGCGACAATTAGATTACCCTCGGCCTAGACATTACTATCCAATCGTTGTAAGTGAGACCAACTCGTTTCCCCCTGCGGAGGATGGCTGCACGGAAGTAAAGTAAATAGTAGAGTGATGCGCAATAGTCGTGTGCAAAACCGGAGGATTTTAAAGGTAAAATGTAAAGAAGAGTTCTCGCCGGTCCTGGATGCGTCGATCAAATCTTCATTCTCTGACGGTTTCTGGAGCACCGTCAGGCTTACCAGAGACCAGTGTCTTCTTAGACATCCGCACCGCGGAATTGCTAATTAAGAAATGTGTCTATCCTCCAAGAGTTTTACCGTTATACGTTAGGTCGGTCAGTGGCTTTTGCCCAGTTCTCACCACCATTTGCGGTCTCCAATGGAGTTCGATAAAACTGTCCTGTTTTTTATTATCCACCTCTTGTGTGATAAGCAACAAACGGGGTGAAACAAATATTCGTGTATACCTGTTATTCAGCGACGGAAACCGGATTTTGAGTATGATCAATTTAGCATATGCTTTGGCTGCAGTTGGTTCAGCTCACCTTCCAGATTGGGACCCAAGGGACGAGGTTCGACCGTGGTTAGAATCTTTGAGTGTCACTCAGAACGGACATCAGCAGCGCTAATGCTGCACGATCTGTCTTTGTTAAAATTCAGTGCTCCATAAAAGCAACAAAATTCATAAAACCTGCTCTTCTGTGGTGGCTCACCAGTTTAGTTGCTTTAGAATCTATAATCCGAGGTTCGAGCCCCGCCACCGCCACCTAACTTTGGTGATAGACAGATCTGCTGTCGTTTGGTTCAAAACCCTGCCTAACCTTTCGTGACCTTATGTAATTCACCATCCCTGACCAGCAGGTCTTCCTGACAAATTTGTGTACTGAAAAATTGTTGGTTTCTTAGGTCGTTCGCTTGTATACCCCAATCAGATCACATCCTGTTACTTTGTCGCCGTGGCTGTCCATGAGCAGATGATTATATACATCCACGTGTATCACATGGATACGAGGTATGAAGAAATGCATAGCGCTAAATATTAAACAGAGTAGGTGTTTCTGGCCTTCCAGGTGGGGATCCAAAAGTGACGTTCTCGTTATTTTCTTACCAGGTCGGAATGCTCGAAATGGTGTGTGTATGTTGGACTGTGTACCATTTGTGTGTTTGTTGACTTGTAGGCATTCCCTCCCTTCCGAATAGGCTCAGTCCATGTCCATATACATATTCTCAACTCCGTGTACATTGCGAGTTTTGCAGCGAGCAGTGAGGTTCGCCTCACCGATTGCGCTGCCCTGTGATGATGACTTATGAGAGGGTAATCTCCGAAATTGAGATGGAACTATTTAGCAACATGTTCTAGATAAATAGACAGACGAGCAGTCTGAGATGTGTTGAATCATGTGAAGCCAAACAAACAACAGGGTTTCACTTGGTCCAAATCGGAGTTCATTTGTGCGTATATCTGATCGATTGCGAAGATGTTCGATGAGGCGCAAGGACGACGGGTAGGATGGTGAACAGTGAATAGAGGTATTATCGATAAAACGTCGATGAAGTTGGAAGTGGATGGAGAGAAGGCAATTAAAAAATAGTAAGAATAGCTTGGAGTTTAGATTCTGCGAGAATATTTGAGATAGCTCCTTCCACTCGGATCGCGAAGAAGCGGTCGCTGAGGCAAATACATACCCACGATATAAGTTCCTCAGGGAAACCAAACATCGGCTTTTTTTAGTTAGGAGATTTTTGTGTCACATTCGGTCGCAGGACTTCGAGGGAGATCAGATTCGATTCACCCTGATCATTGGTTACAGAGCACGAGATATGGGAGATGCATCTGCACCATCACTGTAAAACAGATCTCCGTGACTATGGGGTTCCACCTCGTCTGCTGTTCATGTGTAATGAAGAATCCTGCGGTGTCAAAAACCTTTACTGGTGGTCATTCATAAGGGTGTTCTAGTAGGTACTTGACAATAACGGTTTCCGTGAATGGGAACAGGGAGTTGAGACGGTAGATGTTTGTTTGAGAGCGGTCACCATGCTTGAAATTAGGGAAAACATGCATTTTTTAACAGGAGGAGAACATCTCAGATTGAGAAGATCAACTGAATAAACGTGGACTAAATTGTCATGTACATCTCTTCAATAGAACAAGTGAAATTGTCATCCTGGCCGAGGATCTTGAATGTGTCAAGTGCGAGCAGATATTGACTACGATTTCTGATCGTTATCAACCACACACAACACAGAAACGACAAAAATAAGGGTGAGGGGGGGGCGGGGTGCGGTGCGGTAGAATCAGTAAAACAAGCCAATAGCCTTCATTCGGAATCATGACATGTAGGAGTTTGACACAAAATACATGATTGTTATCACTTGGCGTTTTCTATTCTGAGGATACGCAACTAGTCTGTGCAAAAAAACTACAGTGTATCGGTACGTCCATTGCTGGTTACGCAAGTAGGGTCTCAGTCATCATTTGACAAATAGAGGCTCGGAAAGGGTTCCAAGTATCCCTGCTGCTTGGGCTGCTTATGTCGTCCTCTTCCTCGTAACGAGCAAATGTGTATTGTGAGAACGGTTCATGTCGAACTGATGAGACGTGCCTTTTCCATGTTCCTTGAGGCTACTAATAATGTGCATATTGTAGTGTAATGACTTGTATAGGCAACTATGCTAACACTTCAATCGAAATGGGATAAAAAAATGAAAATTCATTCAAAAAACGTAGACGAAATATCATCTTAGTAGATTTCAAATTAGTTCCTTGGGAGCTTACTGTCAGGTAGAATACGAGCCAAATAGGGTGCTGTTCAATTGTGATAAATGTCCATGCGGGAGGGTAAGCTCCGTTAATTGGATCCGGTTGCAGCGTGGGAACGGTAATGATAAAAACGGTTTTTTTTAATCACAGCGAACATAATCTTGAAAATAAAAGGATCGTCTTAAGCCATTTGTTTTGTAGCATTGAGACAGCTAAAATACGCAGTGTTCAGGTCTTTACGGGATTCACAATCTGGTCAGGAAGGTGTGCACGCATGAGAGAAATGGAGTGACCACACCTCGATGATGACGCCAGCGAAGTGCTTACGCGTTACAGCTTTTGGACAACGAACCATAGACCGATTTTGAGGAAGCTCTGCGGTCCAGACGGAATCTGTACGATGTCAAAAATACGACCACGTGATTGATAAATGCCTAGGTAACCAAGACACTCCTTTTGTACATGTTATTTAACCTCCTGGATTTATTCCAATAAACGAACCATTACTCCTGTGATTTTTCTTTGTGTCTCGGTTAGATGGGATACCGTCGTGCAAGTGCTAGCGTGATTTAGTACTTCTGTGGCGTCCGTAATTACTAACACGTGGTTCATAATCCGTGATGTGTGCGTGCCTCAACCACTATAAACACGTCATCTCCTTGCTGACTGTGAGCAACACGGACCACAACATATCCCGTTACAAGTAAGGCAGACTACACTGGACTTGTTATCGCAGTTCCGTATTCGTTGCACTTTCTGCTGGGAGGAAATTCTACCAGATCGGAGTGTAAAAGTACACCGAACTCTCAGTTAGTGGGAAATAACCATAAGAACCACTTTCACATAATATTCACCACCACCAGGGCTTGTGAGTAACAAATACACGCGTTTAGGGTTGACACACATCAGGCATTTGTACCCAAACCCCCAGGTATGTGATCGAGATAAGCGTTCACTACGTCCACACCAAACTTGTTTTGTGCTACAGAACAAACGATGACCAGTCGTTTCTTAATTGGTGACCCATTGTGGTGATCCAGGCTACTTGACGACACCTACCCTGGAGCGGCGCGATACAGTTTCTGGACACCTGCGATCAATCGAATTTGAAAGGTGACGTCAGTGACGCGCGTACGCGTCACGGTTACTGACTACACGCCATTGGTGGACTATTCCAGCCAATTGGAGACAGTGCAGACAGAAACAGAAGTATGCAAGCAATACCGCAATATGATTGGTAGAAGCCTAGATAACCAATGACCTTCTTT